GGAGTGTTTGTGTTATTTCACTGTCAGTGGGAATGAGATGTGGATTTGAGTGTTGAAATGGTAAAAGTGATGAGTTCCAATATGCTGTATTTCAATTAGAATGTGGGAAAACTATAATAATACGATGGGACGATATGAGTACAGCTAAGGCCAAAGAGAATGTATGTAAAGGGANATTTTTCTTTTGTTTTCATTCTTTTTTTCTCTTTGTTTAACCAGGTGAACCTCTTGTTATCTATTCATCGCCTCTATCCTTATTTATTACTATTACAGTTATTACTTCTACTGATATCGTTATTGTTGTTATTACTATACTGTTATTCTTCTCTCCCTCTCTCTCTTATATACTTGCCTATGTACGTAATAGAGTTAGTATCTCCAGTATATACACCTACTTATACATTAATATATATTTATATTGATTTTATTAATTGCCAATAGTGTAGATCAAACAAAATGTACATGTTTGTGCAGCAGTCNCTTTTATTTATTTTATCTGTTTTTTAGTATATGATCTTCGTATTTTATGATTGTTATGATTACTACGGTTATGGTTATCTTTTTTTCGGGTTTTACTCTCACAGTATGTGGTGTTACCTATTTGTATCTGCAGTGAGGACGTATATACGTATATACGTATGTATGTATGTATGTATGTATGTGTTCTCTGCAGATTTTTCTTTTGTTTTCATTCTTTTTTTCCTTTGTTTAACCAGGTGAACCTCTTGTTATCTATTCATCGCCTCTATCCTTATTTATTACTATTACAGTTATTACTGCTACTGTTATCGTTATTGTTGTTACTACTATACTGTTATTATTCTCTCCCTCTCTCTCTTATATACTTGCCTATGTACGTAATAGAGTTAGTATCTCCAGTATACACCTACTTATACATTAATATATATTTATATTGATTTTATTAATTGCCAATAGTGTAGATCAAACAAAATGTACATGTTTGTGCAGCAGTCAGGAGATGAAGCCGTTTGGGAGGAGATCAGTAGGAAGTTCAGAGCATCAAGCGGCTACGACGGCCAAACTGCCACGAATAATGATGACAAGAGTAATAATTGTTATAATAATTATAATTATAATGACAGTAATGACAATAACAGTGTTAATAGTAATAATAATAACAAGGTTAATGGCTCTACT